TATATAAAATATTTTTTGGAGCACTGCGTACCTATTAGATATTGCTTTATGTACCAGATATTTACGAACATACTTCATGCTGCATTATGAAGTATCATGCACAGTAGAAGGTGAAGTATATTCAGATAGACATAACGTTTACAATATGATTTTCTTTATTCTTTATTTTCATACTGATATGCACCTTTTGTTGTGCTGCTGTTCTGTACCGTTATGTAGTTTTTTGTTCTTATGTAGTGTTATGTTTCTGTATATATTATGTTCATAGAGTATTTCCATATTTTAATTTAATTTGACTTAGGTAATGTTTCCTACCTATATATTGCTTTAAGATTACACATTTAATAAAATTCTAATATGTCTGAGTATGAATGGTAGCTGCTATTACACACTGCTGTTAATTGCAGCATATGAGGTAATTTCTATGATATATACAGCATATTTCACTGTTGTAGTATATAGAACTAAGCAAACTCTGTAGATACCCGAGATTACTACAACGTAGTATAAAATTTATGATAGAATGTGTGATAGAATTTACGAAATTTACTTTATGTGCTAAAAATTCACCATAGACTCTACGGCATATAATATGCAGTACATTTAAAGATTTGGGTATAAAGTAGTGCACACAGTTAATGGGGCCAGCACTACACGGGCACCTCACTGAGCATTTATAACTAAATGTGTAGTGTTTCCTACTGTATTCTGCAAATGCAGGATATATTTGTCTTTTGAAATTTTATGTAATTGTACATGTTATTTATGCTGGTGTTCAAATTTTGTAGCAGTATGTACACTCTATACTCAGATTACTCTTTGAAAAATTTGATATGCCGTTGTCCATTGAATTTTATTGTCACTTGCAGATAGTGTGTAGTGGCATGCACTGTACATGTTATGTGCTATGCACTGCTGCTGCAACAAGGCGATATTGACTTGCGCACTGTTTCGGAACGGGGATTCCGTTGTGACATTTCAATGTTCATATCTTCTTTTGATCCATTTTGCTGTGCTCTGTATGCTACACAGTGATTTCTGTTATTTAACAGTATATTTATTACATATACCGTAATGCTCTGCATCATAGATTATTCTATGCTTTGCCTTACCATTACACAATATTTTATAGTAATATGCGTTAAAAATTAGTAAATTCGACATTTGTAGAATATGTAGTATTAAATGTCACATACTATTGAATAGTGCACTGGTACTTTATAAATAATACATAGTATATACTAAGCTGTTCTAGCAGATGGAACATTTACGAATATATCTGTCCATAATATCGCAGCCAAACTACTGCTTGTGTTACATGTACAGTAATATTTAATAAATTAAGTAAGTCACTCAGAATAGTAGGTACTTTAGTACGTATGCTATTTCTGAAAAATTCATGTTGATGCAGCCAAAAAATTTTATTAAGTGACTTCTAGGAAGGAAATAGAGAGATTTCAAATATGTTACGTGTTAGAATATAAAAGTTATTTTCAGAGCTAGACAACATTAATATTCAAGGGGCCATTTCAGTTCTCTTCTAGAGAAAGTCGCTGCTACAGAAAATGTTTCGAAACAATAAATATTAGTAAATGTACTATATAAAAGATATACTTATTGTTATATAAACATAATTATTGCTATTGTTTTGTTTCACAATGTACCAAAATGGTGCTACTTTTTAGTACAAGATAATTTTATATTTGTATTGGCTTTTATCATATCAGCATATGATATATCAGATTGTTGTTTGGGAATGTAGATGAGTCACGTTTTCACCAGGTCAGGCAAAAAATTTTATGCTTTTAGACATATGTCCATCGAACAACGATTGCAGTTCAGCCGCAGTTTGTGAACCGACTGCCGATGGCAGCTACACGTGTACATGCATGGCTGGGTACAACGATCGCTCGCCAGCCGGACAACCAGGGAGAGTATGCGTGAGAGGTAACTACGCGGCATACATCATCGTCGTTTCTACTCCTAGTTGAAGGCCTCCAAGACATAGCCATAAACTAATGTTTTCTCTCATCCTTAACAAACTTCTGCAGCTCATTCTGCGATCTATCTGAAGGTTTTCCTATTAGCCGCCTACTCACTCTTATAACCCAGTATCATTTTTCTCTGGTCCAGCGATGCTCCGTTCTCTTTGCAACTTGTTATTCATTTCCACTTTAACTTTTTCACTAAAGCAATTACTTTTCAAACTATTCGGTGGATTCTGCCCATTCGTTCACCTTCCAGTGTTTTCTTGTAAATCCCAGCATGCATTTTTTCATGTTGCGTTGTGCAGTCGGTAATTTACGAATAGGTTTCAGACTTTGTATTCACAGGATAGCACTGGGAGCATGCTGATCGAAAGCCCTCATTTTCAAGCAAGGAGACTTTCAGTCTTTCAAAAGTGCTCCATGCTATTTTTAATCTTTTGTTGATTTCTCAGAGTCGGTTCTGCGTTGCACAGATGAGCTAATCCAAACGGTTGTTGTATGGAGACTCTTCAAGTTCGTACCCGTTGACTTCAACGAGTCGCGGGGTCAAGTATTCGTTAAAATTCATATCTACTTATTTCAGGTTCGTTTTCAGTTTTACTCTTGTGCTGGAGTCATTCAGCCCTTCGATTCATTGCTGAAATTCTTTTGGCAGCCTTCAGATGATCATAATTTCGTTCACAAACCGAAGTTGGCTTAAGTTTGGCAATAACAACAATCCTTTACTTTATTTACTTTATTATACAGGATTAATAAGGAATTTTAAAAAATGGACTATCTACCCTAAGAATAAATGCATGTATATGGCCGACATTCAGATTCTCTCATGTCCTGACCAAAAATAAGCACCATGATTGTGGTTGCTAACAAAACTGCGATTTTGCGTAAATTTCGATTGTGAACGAAAAGCTGCATAAAATTTCCTTGGCCTTTTTTTGGAGAAATTTTGCTGGAAAACACTGTAGGTTTTTTAATCCTGCTTTTGCAAATTCTGAAGTCAAAAGTTAAAGCTGGGATAGGAAGTTGCAGATGAAAGACTGTGCAGATTCGGTATTGCAGTTGCTGTCGTCGGATCAGGGACACATGTCTGATGACTGCTATAGAATGTTCTGTTTAAACGCTATGCTTCTCGCTTAGCTTAATTGACATTCACTTTAAATCCCATGAGCATTATTTCTGCCTTACGGGTTTGAATCATGACGCTTGGTAAAAATAATTTTTGGTAAGATAATTTTCTTTAGAAAGCGAGTGTTTGAATTCGACATTGAACGACTGCTCCCCAAACGCTGTTTGTTACGACCTCAGTCGAGGCCATCGTTGCGAATGCTTTCCGGACTACGTCGATTTATCGCCAGATCCAGAATATCCAGGAAGAGTGTGTGAATTGCGTCCGACGGTATCACACTTCGTTGACAAGAGTGAGTCTTTTCGTCTTGCGTTACTGATACGCAGTAGGTTTAAGTCACGCGTCAACTAGTTTGTTTTATGTAGTTATTGTAGTAGTTTATAATACTTATGATTTAAATCAATAGTGTTTATGCATTATTTATAAACCTGTGGTGTTATTAGTTTATTTAATTAATTATATTTTAAACGAGATTATGTGACAGTCAGGTGATCCATTAAAGCTACCACTGCAGCATCGCCACTCTGCGGGATAGTGTTTCGAAGAAGTACAAGAGTCGCTACTGGTTAAAGATTGGTGTCGTCCGAACATTGAAAGAAACTGATATACAATTTGTAGTGTTTCAGTGGTCATAGACACACTCAGAATACCGATGTTAATGTTCTCATTCTATGTATATAGCTCCAGCTGTGGTATAATCTGCACATTATGTTTGCAATTTCTCAGAGCAC